CGGTCGTGAGCATTTTCAAAGAAAGGAACGAGTCCAACTGCGGTAACTACAGCGGAATCTCCCTGATGTCGAAAAGTCACCACCAAGCTCCTCCTCAACTATCTCCTCCCTGTGGCTGAGGAACTCCTCCTGGAGTCAAAGTGTGGGCGTGCAGCCACAGAAGGGCACAACGGACATGATGTTCACCATGTGACAGTTGTAGGAGAAATGCAGAGAAAAGAACCTACCCCCTTTACACAGCCTTCTTCCACCTTACCATGACCTTTGACACCGTTAATTGGGAAGCATTATGGAACATACTTTGCCTGCTCCACGACGACATGGAAGTTGTGGTAATGACAAATGGCTCCATCACCGACCCATTCCCCAATTGTGCTGGTGTCAGGCAGGGCTGTGTCATTGCCCCAACACTGTTCTTGACCAACCACACTGCAATGCGCCCTGCTGGAGTGGAGCTAACCTACAGAACCAGTGGAAAATTATTCAACCCCCACCACCCTCAAGCCACCCCGACCAGTGTCATTGAGCTGCAGTATGTGGATGATGCTGGCATACTTGCAAACTCCGAGAATGAACTCTGGATCATCGTCAGCACCTTTTATGGAGACTGTGTGAGCACAGTCAAAGAAGCAGGAAAAGTACGTTCCATAATGCTTCACTGAACATCCTCAAGACAAAGGTCCTCCACCAATTGGTCTGGCATTACGAAGCAAAATTCCAATCAGCAAAGTCCATGGGGAGACCTTAGAGAATGTTCGGCATATCCAATACCTCAGGAGTGTCCTGTTGACCAAAGCAGATTTCGATGAAGAGATCCAGTACCACCTCCAGGGTGCTAGTGCAGCCTTCAGCCACCTGAGGAAAAGGGTGTTCGAGAACAACAACATCAGACTGACATGAGACTCCCCGAGCAGGTGCTGTACTCTCAGCTTTGAAATGGCAGGCAAGTCCCAGATGGACAGAGGAAGGGATACCCTCAAGGGCTCACTGGCGAAGTGTGGCATTCCCACAGACACCTGGGAATCACTGGACCAAGACTGTCCAAAGGGGAGGAAGAGCATCTGGAAGGGCCTTGAGCACCTCAATACTTGCTGTCAGGAAAGAGCTGAAGCCAGGTGAAAACAGTGAAACATGTGCGCTGCCATACCAATGGCCCACCCACCCCTTCCCGTGACCATCACCTGCCCCCAGTGTAACAGAGCCTGTGGTAGCCACATCGGTCTGTACAGCCACCTACCGACTCACCCTGAGAGTGGAAGTGAGTCATCCTAGTCTGTGAGGGACCACCGATGATGAGGATGATCTTCTGGAACCATAACTGTTACAGTAAATGAGTAGCTGGAAGCTTTTTCTGCCTCCTGTTGTTCCACTCATGCCTGACATTCTTAAACCAGGAAATGGTATGTTTTGGGACACAGAACATTCTTTGAATGAATCTGTGCAACTGTGCTCAAAACTAACAGGAAACTACACTCTACACTGAATGATGGAATACATAGCACAGAAGCAGCGCATTTAGCTGTCACAACAGCTCTGTGTCCACTTTGATGCCCCTATTAATCTAAACCCATCAGGATATGTTTGTATCGGGTTTTGGATTGAGGTTGGATTTTTCCAAATTACAGCCTCATTGTTCAGAATACAATGAGACTGTAATTCCGAAAAATCAAGACAATCTAAACAGCGAAAGAATGAGAGTTATATTGTGCTTGTGAAAGTCCTATTTATATATCACTTTAGGTCATAGACAGCATGGAAACAAATCTTTCAGTCCAACTCCTCCACACTGACCAAGTTTCCCAAACTAGTCACACTTGCCTACATTTTACTCATACCTCTTTAAACCTATTCATGTACCTGTCGAAATGTCTTTTAAATGTTACAATTGTACCTCCATCTATCACTTCCACATATGATCCACCCACTATGTGAGAAAATTGCTCCTCAGGTCCCTTTTTAAATCTTTCTTCTCTCATCTTAAAAATATGCCCCTTCGTTTTGAACTCCCCCACCCGAGAGAAAAGACCTTTACTATTCATCTTTTCTATGCCCTTCATATTATAAACCTCCATAAGGCTACCCCTCAACCTCCTACAGCTCCACTGAAAAAGTTCCAGCCTATCCAGTTCCTCCTTACAACTCAAACCCTCCAGCCCCAACAACATCCTGGTAAACCGCTTCTGAACCATCTCCAATTTAATAACATCCTTGCTATAGCAGGGAGACCAGAACTTTATGCCAAAAATAGCCTCACTAACATCCTGTATAACCACAACATGGTGTCCCAACTCCTATACTCAATGGTCTTAGCAATGAAGGCAAGCTTGATCACTCTACCTGTGTCGCAACTTTCAAAGACCTATGTACCTGAACTCCTAGGTCATTCTGTTTGATAACACTACCCAAGGCATTACCTTTAATTTTATAAGTCCTGCCTTTTTTGTTTTACCAAAATGCAATATCTCACAGTTATCCAAATTAAACTCCATCTGCCATTCCTCAGCCCATTGACCCAAATGTTCAAGATGCTTTTTTTAATCTTAGAAAACCTTCTTCACTGTCACCTATACCAACAATTTTGGTGTCATCCGCAAACCTACTAACCATGCCTCCTAAATTCTCATCCAAATTGTTTATATAAAAGTGACAAACAACAATGGGCCCAGCACTGATCCCTGTGGAACACTGCTGGTCACTGGCCTCCTGTCCAAAAAACAACCCTCGCCACTACCCTCTGTCTCCTTCTGTCAAACTAATGTATCCAATTGACCATCTCTCTTTGAATCCCATGTGATGTAACTTAGCTAACCAGACTACCATGCAGAACCTTGTCAAAGGCTTTATTAAAGTCCATTGTAGACAATATCCACCACTCTGCCCCCAATCTTTCTGGTTACATCCTCAAAAAACTCGATCTGTCTGACAGGCTCAATTAATCTTTGGAATTAATATTAAAAAAAATCACCTGAAATGTCTGTAAGCACAAAGAAAATTTGTACTGTTCGGTAGGTATCAATAATTTATCAGCAACTTGACCTAGTAATTAGGTGACACAGATCTGATTATCAAATAGCTTCTTGATTGTAATCCATTTAGTTTATACTATATTCTCTTTCTTTAAAAATCAATTTTGATTTGTAGTTTATGATGAAGCAGTGGTTAAAAATTCAATGCTTGGAGAGCAATGTTCACATCCAGTTCTGAACTTCTGAAACGCTTTTTAATGGATTCAATGAGCTGCATGGACATTGGTCCAGTTTCTATCACATCGTTCCATTAAAACAAAATCAAATGTCTGCTGAATATATGGTTAGCATGAAAGTAGAAATGACATATATAGTATTGCAAGGCAGGATTCATCTGAAGCTCAAGGTAGAGCTCAATCTGAGGAAAGAATAGACAGAGTTTTATTCAGCATCCGGATTGATAGAGTGCCAAATCTGATGAAAAGTCACAAACCTGGACCATCAACTGCTTTCCTCTCCAGAGATGCTCCTGTCTTGTCAAGTACTTCCAGCTTCACAGTATTTTGCCTAATCTGTGTTGTTCACCTGAAAAGGTATGAGCTTCATTCCTTCGCATCACTATTCCTCATCTTTATTATTGCAAAACTTAAAATACAATAGGAATTACTAATATTAATTTCTTTCATATATGCTTAATGGGTAAGATAGTGGCTTGAAACATTTAAAGAAAGATGAATACATGTTTATAGAGTATTTCACAATTAATGCATTTCTTTAAAATGTAGTCACTGTTGCAATGTGGACAAATACATTTGCCAGTTGCACAAAAGGTAATGTTGTATGAGCTGAATATAAAAGTTGGCCAAGAGAGCCCTTGTGGCATAGTGGTAGTGCCCATAGCTCTGGTTGAAATCCATGTGTTCCAGAGGTGTGTTATAAAATGTCTGAACTTAATATCAAAAAAATCTAAAAGTTGTCAAAGAAACCTTCCATACCTCTTTTTAGAATAGTGTCATAGGATATTGTATTCAATCAATAAAGCAGAAAATTCAGAATTCTGAAGAGCAAAGAGACTTGAGAGTTCTAGTCCAGGATTCTCTCAAGGTAAACTTGCAGGTTGAGTCAGTAGTCAGGAAGGCAAATGCAATATTGGCATTTATGGAGAGGACTTGAATATAAAAGCAGGGATATACTACTGAGGCTTTATAAGGCTCTGGTCAGGCCACATTTGGAGTATTGTGAGCAGTTTTTGGCCCCATATCTCAGGAAGGATGTACTGGTCCTGGAGCGGGTTCAGAGGAGGTTCACGAGAATGGTCCCAGGATTGGGAAGCTTAACATATGAGGAACATTTGAGGACTCTGGGACTGTACTCATTGGAGTTTAGACGGATGAGGGGGGATCTAATTGAAACTTAGAGAATACTGAAAGGCCTGGACAGAGTGGATGTTGGGAAGATGCTTCCATTGGTAGGAGAGACTAGGACCCGAGGGCACTCAGAGTAAAGGGAAGACCTTTTAGAACGGAGATAAGGAGAAACTACTTCAGCCAGAGAGCGGTGAATCTATGGAATTCACTGCCACAGAAGGTCATTGAGTACATTTAAGACTGAGATAGATAGGTTCTTGATTATCAAGGGGATCAAGGGTTATGAGGAGAAAGCAGGAGAATGGGATTGAGAAATTTATCAGCCATGATTGAATGGCGGAGCAGACTCGATGGGCCGAATGGCCTAATTTCTGCTCCTATGTCTTATGGTCTTTAACATCTTGTCTGAAAGAAGGACATGCTTAGCAATAACAGTTTCCCAATGTTGTATTTTACCCTTAGGTTTCGGATTTGAATTTAAACTCTTATTTTACAGACTCGGAGGTGAAAGTGCTTAACATTGTAGTGGTGCCGCAGTGTTGCCAGAAGTGGCCATTAACAATTAGAAAATTGGTTCAATTCAAGTGGACAAACAATTAATTAGCTGCAAGGATAGCAATCAAAAACAAAAGTTTAAATAGCTAACAAAATTCTGTGTTTCAAACAGGTGAAGGAGGAACTGAAGAACAATTCACCCAGTGAAATGGAGATCCCCCTTGAGGAAGTTAACAATGCCTGTCGCCTGAACCTCAAGAAACCATTCCCAAATTTAGGACTATCGCTAAGTGAAACAATGCCGTCTGCTTTTAACATTATGTATACAGTTACACTCTATATCGTATTCATCATTTTGATCGGTTAGTGAATACAGTCCAAGGTCATTGCGCAGCCAAACCGAGTCCAAGCAATTATGGAGCTGGGGCTAAAAACTTGTAATAACCTTGTTATTTGGCAGCGTGAATAATAGATGGAGATAAATCAACTTACAATCCTTAATAAAGGATGACTTGAATTTATTCATCTCTGATTTACAGAATGAGATGCAAAGTTTGAAAATAACTGAGCACAATTACTTTTGGTAATATATACAAGCTTGTTTATACATTGCTTCGCTGAGCAAACTAGACATCATCATAAAAAACAAAAAAAAAAGTTCTTTTAAGATTAGGTCATCTGAAATAACATATCCTCATATGACTAGGTGCTGTTTTTGTTTTGTAATTTCTTATGACTAACTAAGTGCCTTTGGACATTTTATTAACTGAAGATTCCAAGAACACAGTATGAACGTGCAATTCTTGCTTATGGTATTTTTGTCTCTATTCCATCTCATTATTCTCATGTATTAGTCTGATGCTGCAAAACAAAACTGCAAAGGTTTTAAACAATCAGAGCTATTGTGCCAAAACAATCAACATTTCAGTTCTTATTTAAGAAAAGAAATCCTCCCCTTTTCCAGTGTTTTTTGTATCCCTGCCCATGTACCAATTCATAAAGGAAAATGTGTACATGACTGAGTTCAACCCCTTTGACAAGTCTGCTGGAAGCATCCTTTGCTTTTCAATTTCTGTGGGATATTACCCAATATGAATTCAGCAATATCCTCATGGATACGTGACATCAGTCAGGAACTCACAAGAGGGCAGAGGGATTATGGGAGTCACACATTGACTTTGTACACCACCATTGTGGAATGCATTGCACCACATTTCATCATATGGTACCACTTAAGTGGCTACATGCCTCTAGCCTAATAGTCACTAGTGATTGTGGCTTTCTTAGTTTTAAGTAGTAAAAATCCATAACACAATCGTCTAAGATATGGCTCAGATGGTAGCACCCTTCTGAATCAAAAGGCTCCAGGTTAGAGTCCCACTGCGATATAAATCTAAGTTGACCCTCCAGTGTAGTATAGAGGGAGAACTGCACTGTTAGAGGTTTCAGTTTTCAGATGAGATGTCAAACTGAGGTCCAGTCTGCCATCTTAGGGAAATGCAGAAATCTCACGGATTGGTTTGAAGAAAAACAGAGGACTAATTCCGGTTGTCCTGGCCAATATCACAAAAAAAAAACCCAGATAATCTGGCCATTTAACACTTTGCTGTTTGAGAGAGCCATGTGTAGGTTGGCTGCCGTGTTTGCTACATTACAACAGGGACCACACTTCAAAAGTACTTCACAGGCTGTAAGGTGCCTTTGGAGGTCCTGAGGTTATGAAAGGCAGAAAATCAAGTTATAGAAAAGTAAGTGTCTCTTATATTGCATGTGATTAATGTTGCCCTGAATAAGAACACTATTCAGCCAGCTTCAAGCCTTAGCAACCACATCCTGTAGTGTTCATAAATCTCAAAGAAGTCAACAGTTTTAGTTGTAAGCATAAAATATTGCTGCGTAGAGTACCTACAATACCTCTTGGTGTGCAAATAACAAGGGCATTTGGTATTAAATAGTTGCATCGCTGATTGCTTTAGACATACTTTCCATGTACAGAAGTCATATTTCCACAGACAGCTGTTGTGTTCTTTAGAAACAGAAACATGACCATCTGCTCAATTTTATATACAAACCAAGCACTTTTTGTTAAACCATTGAGATATGCACTACAAATAGTACAGTATTCCATCCACTCATATTTTCATTAATGGACAAATAATTCTCTAAAGATTACAGAAAGAAATTGGACCATATTGTAAGTTTTTAATGAATGTAAAATGGGTGCATTGAGGTACATTTCTAAGATGGAAGATTCTGTATCTCAAGGATGTCTGACATATAGCCAACCTGAACTTCCACGACGACCACTTGAAATAAGTCTTCAAACCTTTTGAGATCTATATGAGTGGGCTGTACCACTTTTTGGAGATATCTGGGAAATTGGTTTGCCCTGAGCAGAGCAGACACCAGCTTTGTTCCACTCAGGTCCTCTAGACCTAACCATACTCTACCTACACAATAAGCATCTTTCAGGGTCAAGAGGTGTTAGGCCATGACATTCACAAAAGTCACCCACATCCTTAATGACGAGATTGTTTAAAACTTCCATCCATTTTCTTGACAAAGCAGAGATGTAAGGTAGATAATCAGAGTACTGTTGTGCAGTTTCTACAACTGGTGATAGTTGAAAGTTATATTGTTTTCCCAAAATACATTCATTTATAAAATTTGTAAAAGCTCATTACAAACCATTTTCACTTGAAAATTTCCATGCATATCAATGTACAGGAAAAACAACATTAATTCGGTAAAGAAAGCATTGATTAGTTAGAAAGTGGACTCTTATTGGTAGAGCTGTTGCTACAGTGAATGCAGCAGTTAGATTGTGACTGGCAGTTAGCGGTCAAGCTTTGTTTACATTTTAAAGTAGTCAGATTGACTCTGATTAGTTCAAACATTACCCTGGGAAATGAACCAGGAATTACTGTCACCAATTTTGTTGAATTGAAACAGGCACAATGTGTTTACATGCTCCTTCAGTCAGGAACGAGGCCCTATTCAAAAACAGTCAGACTTGCAAAACCTAATACACCGTGTCCAACGTTAGATGTGATTCTGCAATGGACAACATTAACTAAATAATCCTGAGTGTGTGAAGAATTTAAGATTGTCAGTTTGGCTTGCAGTGCGGTGCACCTGCACGTACAGAGAGCTATGTATAATAATATCCAGGACCCTGTCCTTTATAGACAGAAATAACATGCAACCATACTGTGTCTGTTTCAATTCAACAAAGCAGGGGACAATCATTCTCTGGTTTATTTCTCAGAGAATTACCTTAATACTAGCAAGGGTTTGTAAATGGCTGCTTCATTTATTTCATAGAATCCCTCGAATCAAAGAATCCCTACAGTGTGGAAGCAGGTCATTCAGCACATCGAGTCCACACTGACCTTCTGAAGAGCATCCTACCCAGACTCACCCCACTTCCCTATCCCTGTAACCCTGCATTTCCCATGGATAATCCACCCAGCCTACAAAAACCTGGATGCTATGGGACAAGTAAGCATGGCCAATCCACCTAACCTGCACATCTTTAGACTGTGGGAGGAAACTGGAGCACCCAGAAGAAAGTCATGCAGATATGGGGAGAATGTGCAAACTCCCACAGACAGTTACCTGAGGGTGGAATCAAACCCAGGGCCCTGGCTCTGTGAGGCAGTAGTGCTAACCACTGGGCCACCATGCCGGCAACATTTGTTGCTACAATATCGTGGTGTCCAGCAAACTTGCATCTTACACTTTCGCCCATCGAAATGACATTACTCCACCCACCCTCAGCATTGCCCCAGCTGCTTTCTAGCAACATTTCATATCTAGAGAATGGAAAGTGCTTGCATGGACCATGGCTCCCATTAGACACTTGTAGCACTGGGCTCTGCCTAGTTGCCAGGTTCTTCCCACCTAATCTGTGTGCAGTCTGTGCCCACTCCTGACAGGGCTAGGATCTCCTGACCAACAAGAGACCTCCCATTAACTCTATTGAGGACTAGTTCCACCAGTTTTTGACATGACCATTTGGCAGTATGCTTGCTGTGCAGGCAGATGGCATTTGCTGTATGCGTTAGAATGATGCCTCAGTGTGCTATCAATCAAGATGTGTTCTTCCCACAAACTGATCCCTACTGACAAGCAGCACGTCTACACAAAAGGTCACCTCAATATGGCAGTTCTTGTAGTCTTTTTCTCTGGCTGAAGTGTCTAAATACTAACAGGCATGGTAAGGCATGGTTGTTGCGAGCACGCAGTAAAGCAACAAGCACTAAGAGAGCAAGTGGATGGCACTGAGATGGAGCCTGGTCGAATCTGAGTTGGAAGGTTGATCCATATGAGCAAAGAGTTCCTTCTAAGGCCTTCTAATGCTAGTTGCTGGTGGTCACTGCAATGAAAGTCTTTGCTTCCTAAGTAGTGGGCTGGTGTATTAGAGAGGTATCACAATGGTCATCAGAGGATTGCAGATAGAGTCAGAGACATACAGCATGGAAACAGACCTTTCAGTCAAACTCATTCATGCTGGCCAGACATCTCCATCTGACCTAGTCCCATTTGCCAGCATTTGGCCCATATCCCTCTAAACCCATCCTGTTCACCTACCCATCCAGGTGCCTTTTAAATGTTCTAATTGTACCAGCCTCCACCACTTCCTCTGGCAGCTCATTCCATACACGCACCGCCCTCTGCATGAAAAGGTTATCCCTAAGGTCCCTTTTAAATCCTTCCCCTCTCACTTTAAACCTATGCCCTCTAGTTTTGGACTCCCCTACACTGGGGAAAAGTCCTTGTCTATTCACCCTATCCATTGTTGACTGTTATGTTAAATAGTTAACAGATTCAACTTTAAGTTCAACTGCATCTCTACTCTTTTGTCTCAGTGTGATTATTTGTGTAAAGGAAGATTGATAATGAGATTTGCTTGTTAGACAATAATCAAACCAATGCAAAATAGTGCAGCAT